AGCCCCCGGCGAAAAAATTCAAAGAAAACCCAAATTCGGAATCCACTAAAACAACTAAGTTCGAAAATTTACCTGTAGACATCACTTTGATTCCGGTTAACAACATTCCTATCAATACTAAAGAAAATGTAGGTCGTAAGAAAAATAATTCATTCTTTGACAAACTGAAAGAAAGATTGCTAACTGAGACGGGCGAGAAAGGATCTCTTATCTGCAAAAACTGTGGGTTTGAAAGTAAATGCTTATCTGAACATTCCGTACACGAGAAAAATTGCGCTTCTCAGTTGAATAAGTCCGCAACGAACACCTTACTTCCGAGTCTAAGTTCAACACGTTGCCAAAATTGCCGGCACCGATGTAAATCTAGTGCAGATCTTATCATACACATGAAAACGTGTAGAAAGATTGAAAAAATGGAAGATGACACCGTTGAAGTCAAAAGCCAAGACAGCAATGATGAAATCATCACAGTTCAAGATCGAGAAACAGAGCCACATCCGATGGAAAACGTAGTATTCGTATGGAACAATATTAATCAGGATTCCAACAAATTTGATACACCTCTTGATATAAATATTAATGATGATTCCACGCTCCCAGAAATGTGTAGAAGTTTCGATTTGGACATCGCGGAAGACAATGAAGGCATGAATTTGTCACCTAGTCAAGCCATGGGGAAAAAAGTTTTCAAGTGTCCACACTGTCCATTCTGGGCTTCCACTGCGTCAAGATTTCACGTCCATATTGTAGGACATTTGAATAAAAAACCTTTCAAATGTTCTCTCTGTAAATACAAATCTAACTGGCGTTGGGACATCACTAAACACATCAAGCTAAAATCAGCTAGAGACCCCGAACATAATGAGGCAAAAGTCCTAATGACTGATGAGACTGGCCGAAGAAACTATAGCAAGTACAACAAGTTCTTAGCTATGTCAGTTTTGAATGAGAATGGAGAGACTGTGTTCCATTACATAGACCAGAATCCTTCAGCTCATCCGTCCATAGAGGGTATAGAATCTTACAATGACATGAACGACAACTTTAATCACACTTTAGAAGTGCAACCACTCAACCTCCAGATGAATCATTCTGATGGTGAGGCATTCGATAACCGAAGCATGGATCAGATGAAACCCAAGAAAACATTGTGGAAATGCAAGAAATGCAATTACAGGTAATCTAGTTTTCTATTATTTTCAGTTTTACAAAACTTATCAGTCATCTCTAGCTAGATGTTTACTCACATTTCTGTGACAAACTGTATCCATCTAAAAGTATACCCCGAATGAAGGTTTCATGAATAGAGATGTTAAAGCAAATCTTGAAGTGTTATGATTCAATTACTTATAAATTATTACGCCTTGTAGAGACCCATCCAAGGAGGCCCTGTTAGAACACGTTCGAGAACACTCTACAGCCGACGGGAACACCGACGGGATGAAACCTCCCAAGAAACCGGATAACGTTCCCGACCCGGCAGACTTGGCTTATCGCTGCGGCCACTGCAATCAATTATCGAACTGGAAACATGTTATACAGGTCAGTACACTAGATAAGTTAGTACTTCATAGGTACATCAATGAGTACACTATTTGAATGAGTAGGTATGGCCTAATTGTGTCTATCGAACAGAATAAATTAACAAACAATATAAATACATTTAACTAACATAAGTTAAGCCACTCTTTAATGTATTGACTTATTTACAATTCTATGTTTCAGAGACACTGCCGCCTCAAGCACGATGGTATTATCAAAGTCATAACTACGGTGAAGCCGAAGCCAGATCCAGGGTTGGGACTGAACGACATTCACGGAGACACATGTAACAAGTGTCCATTCAAAACTAGCGACAAAAAACTATTACTAGCTCACCTCCAACAACATCAGCCATCACCACAATCTATTTTCAAGTGCTTCTTCTGTCCCTACTTTGTTAAGGATGAACACGAACTGATTCAACATCTCATCCTGCACGGCGTCAATGAACCAGAAGAATACATAGCGAGAGCAATGGGTGCTAAATCTCCAATTCCTGAGCCAGCTTCGAATTCGACCCCAAACACGTCATCCACAAAGAGACACAAATGCACCGAATGTCCTTATGAAACCAACAGCAAGTCTCAGTACATGTACCACGAGCAATTCCATCGACTTCCAGCTGACACGCCTTATAAGTGTCCCGAATGCAACTACAGTGTATCAAAAAGACATTTGCTACACCAACATTTAAGAGTCCATGGGATAAACTCCAAGAAACTTGAAGCTGAATTAGAGTCTAAAACGGACTTGAGAATTGAAATAAATCTGGACGAGATCCCATTTGTTTGGGTTTCGGCAAAGAATGAGTTCCATAAGATGTACAAATGCCGTTACTGCTCGTATGTGAATTCTCAAAAATGTAAAATTCCTAATCACGAAAAAATTCACTGCGTTGTGTTTGAAAATAGTGAAATGATAATTTACAAATGTTTGGAATGCAAATATACTTGTGACAGTGCTGTAAGACTAGCCGAGCATTCAAGAACCCATGGTGAGATTTATGGTCGCATTTATTGCCCTGTTGACGCCGATATCCCCGATGAGGAACAGATCGCTAAGTTGCGTAAAGTTATTGAAGCAGAAAAAAACACGACTTCGGAAGGAAATAAGGAAGATGAAGCTGGTGATGAAAATAAAGAATCCAAAACACTGTATTTTTGTCAAAAATGTCCAGCAAGATTCTTTGCTGATGAAGAACTCAAAAATCATGACAATTTTCACAATAATTCAGCTTTACCGCATAAATGCCCAAGCTGCGAATTTTACGTTCCCGAGGAAAGTGAGCTCAGTGAACACACTGTAGTGCATTCAGATGAATATCATACAAAAACTAAAATGCTTAAGTTCATTCACAGCTGCAGTGCAGCCCACAGGCAGCCTAATCTGGATATAGTTCTTAATACAACCACAACAGACATAACGTGGGGAGTGTCTAACCCCAGCAAAAATTACAATAACGATACCCATAAAGGATCAAACGAGACTAAACCAGTGCCAAAACAATACGCTTGCAAAGAATGCCCAGCTAGATTTATCAAAAGTTCGGCCCTTACCGGTCATATGGCACTACACGGCAGTAATTATCCACATAAATGTAAATTGTGTAGCTACGCCGTTAGGAATACAGGCAATTTGGCAAAACATGTAGCGTTGCATGAAAATGACGGGAAAGCGTCAAACTGTGATTACGAGTCAGGAGACGACAATATGGATTTCAAAAATATACCCTTATCAGGGACAGATTTATTTCAACGAAAAACAGAAGCTCAAAAAAGAGTGCTGATTGATAAAGATAAATTGGTTAAACCAAATGATCATTTTCCGCCTGTGCTGCAAGCTGATCCTCAGTTCGGATACCTGATGCACGGCAATCCAGAGTTCATATACCCCACTTATCTGAAAAACGGTCGCCAGAAGGAAAAGCGTTACAAGTGTCACAAATGTCCGTCTGCATTTGAAAAACGAGAACAATATAAAATACATCTTTCACTGCATGGTTCCAAACAAAGATATAAATGTGAACTTTGCGATTACTCCGTTAAGTATTATGCCAACTATGTTCAACACATGAGAAAGCATCAAATGAACGACGAAGCGCAAGCTGAAAGAAAGAAAACCAGTAATGGTGTTATTGAAACTGAAACTCAAGAAGTCAAGCAGGAAGACACCGACAACATAAAATTAGCAATTAAAACAATGCCTAAAGGTACTCCCAAAAGCGATTTTCAGCAGTTCTCATTCAGCGATCAACAAACTCTTAGAATACTGCAACGCAGACGCTCATTGAACAACAGTGGCAAGGAACAGTCTTCGCCATCAGATGTATCACATTTGAAGGACCGGAAATTACACATGTGTTTACTGTGCCCGTACACAAATCAACGCCAAGACGCTTTGTTTAATCATTACAAACGGCATGATGATACTGATGTTTCTAATTTAGGTAATCATAAATGTAATTTTTGTGATCTTGTAGTTGTACAGTCACATTTCCTCCGAGACCATTTGAAAACACATTTTACATACCAAAAGACATTGACGCCAGAATGTTATGTCGCTAATGAAAATGTGAGTTTCACTATCACAAAAGTCGATGATGAAGATGATGCACCTATTGATCTCAAATTAGATATGCAAAGCAAGAAATTCAAGTGCAATGAAGACAAAATTTTTGTTAAGATACAAACGGGAGAACTTATGGTTGAATAATAAAATAGATGTTATCAAAATGATATAGGTACTACTAATACTGACCCACGTAAAATTAATTATTGTTATTGCAAAGTTCAAGACGAATTAGAACTAAAAAGCCAAAAAACTGTAGCTGATATTCACCAAAGTGTAGCTTGCCATATTAGATTATAGCAGTTCTGGCCATTCGGATAGGTGTTAATGAGCGTTCATAGAAATTAAGTAGATCTGTACTTAGAAACTTAGACCAGGGCACTTATTTTTGAAACATTCCATCTCTAATCGCATCCGAAATCACACAAATCGTATACGAATTCGCATGCCCTTTTGATGCCCTTACCTAACATGATGTAACGGACATGGAATTGTTTGACAATGTTTCAAAAATACAGCGCCAAACGGATTTATTAAGCACTACATGTTAAATTAACTGGAGCATTAAGTTAATTCAAATACATTTAAGGAAATATGTAGAGATTTAAGGTAGACAATCCACAACTCCACTTCTTATCCAGGAAAGTGTGATAACTAGTCCAAATTTTTAGAAAGTTTCTAATGCGAAGTTTGTCCAAAATGTTACCATATTTACTTGGATGTTTATAAATGCTGAGGAGTATCTAAACTAAACAAACTAGAACTTGTACTGACTGACCTAATCTGAAGTATTGTAACTACATAAATATTGAAAAAAAAAAACTATGGCAACAATCTCATCTAATAAAACAAAACCATAGACAATAAAGTGTACACTGATAATTTCAAGGCTAGACAGTTTTATACTTTGGTAAAAGATATTTAAAACTTATTAGAAACCTGAATCTGATTGTGAATATTATAATTTAGTACTTGTTATTTTTAAGAGCAATATGTTAGTCATTTACATTAGATTCTTAATTAATAGTGTTTAAGTTTTAAGAAGCTTCATTATTCTGTATTGTTTTCCTCAGATAAATATGACTCAATATAAAACAGCATAATCACATAATTATTGATTGTATTAATAATAATATTATTTTGCTCGAGGATAGTAATAATAGTTGGTTATTTGAGTATAACTAAATGCTGGCACTCTACAGTGTCTGATTTATATTTTACTTGGTCCTAAAGGACACATTCCTGTTGTTACTAAATATTATAAAAAATATACAATAATTACTCAACATAAACATTTGTTTCACTTTTACGAATTCTTTTATTATGATAAAAAATTCAACTAATTTTGTAGGTACTACATAGTTCACAAAATAAAAGTTACAATATTACTTAAAGCAGATAATTTATTATGTAAAACTAAGGATGCCTTATCTACTCAACATGATTCCGTATCCATTGGTAGTTATAAGGTCAATGCATTAACAGCAAACCAAAATATCATAATTCATAGTAAAAGGTAGTAGAATTATTTGATACAACACTTATTGTATCTTAATATTGATAAACACACTATGTTAATCTAAGGTTGTAGTAAAAGCAGTCTTAACAGAACTTCCAACGGTTTCCGCATTCATTGCAGAGGACAAAAGTGGTCATAGGTTCATCAGAACTTCTGGTCTGGAGTTGGTTGTAGGTACAGTTCTTCTTTTTGCATTTGCCACACTTGAGCATGTCAGTTTTAGTTCCCTGGACAGTAGCCAGTTGAGCATCATCGATCGCCTCTTTGATAAACTTCTCTCTGAGTTTCTTCATCTCATCACTTGCCATCTCTTCAGGAGTCATCTTAGCGAGTCTAGAGGCTGCAACAACACCATTTAAGTAATTTGTTCTTAAAGTAGGATTTTTAGGGTCCTTCAAGTTAGCAACTCGAGATCGCACTCTATTTTTGTATCTCATGTCAGTGTTTTTAAACTCCATGTAAATGCATTCTTCCAATTCTTCAGCAAGTTCTTCAGGAGTGGCACAAGAGCTAGGGTTTTCACCATCAACCTTTAAGGCCTGTGTCAACAGTTCACGGCATTTCAGTCGTACAGCATCAGTTGTATTGGATTGAGGTGGAAAGGAAGCTGGTAACTTTTTATCTTTCTCCTTGTCATCCTTCTTTTCCTTGTCTTTGCCATCTTTTTTTGATTTAGATGAGCTCCCATTGTCCTTGGATGGAGTGTTTGGTGTTGATAGAAACTTTTTCCAGTTCTTTATCAGAGTTTTACATAAAGAAATTACCTCCTCATCCTTGCTAGACTTGCGAATAGCATTCACAGTCATTCCAATTCTCGTTTTGGTCAACACGTCCAAATTGATTGCCATAGTCTGTAGAGCCTTCAAAAGTTCAAGAGCTTCTTCTTGGCCCTGAAACAATAAAAAATAATACATAACACTTAGGCCTTAGACTTGTTTATAAGGCAGGCTTGTTGACATGTAAACAATATATGTTTTTCCCTACAGGTTGTCAAGTAGGTACCGCAAAGCGTAGGTATTGGGGACAACATTTAGCTTTTCAGAATGTGTGAAATGCGAAGTAAATAAACACAACACTACTTCATAACATGTGTGTTTGAATTGTCAATGTTGGCATTCATCTAAAATTCTTTACATTGTAGCCCTGTTGAGAAAATAAGCTTGGTGGAAAATGCCTCCTCAGGTTTGATTTTCATCTATCCATACCACTAGTAACTGCACCTACCGTGCCGTCATCCGATATCATTTTTGTCAATTTCTTTTGTATTTTCATTACATCTTCTTCCACGCTCATGGTTGCAGGTTATTATTGTAATTGTATGAATTCCCGCTTAAAATCAGCAACAATTACAGGAAAAATTGATAAATCGACCACCACACCGAAAATATAACTAAACCATAGACTAAAAGACATAGCTTTTTGTTACAAATCCAGAAGTCTATGCCCAAAGTAATAGGATTATACAGCCTATATAATGAAAATTACAAAGGAGTCGCTTTCAAAGTTAAAGTGAAAATATGTTATTAAATTGCAGTTTACTGCGTTTATTTAATCTTAATTAAATGAATGGTGAATCATTAATGGGCGGTGGCCTGGCCTTGCAAATTAGATCGGCCGGCCGGACCAAGACAGTTTAGCCCTAACTCTCCCTAACCTCGAAAGATGGCGCTGTAAACGAGGCATTTTTTGCCCAGCGCTACGCACGGCCACGCCCGCCCGGCCCCGTGAGAAATCGCTACTTAAACAATATTCCTGCTATATCTATTTGCTTTCTACCCTATAATCCTTATAATAAAAACCTATATTAGGCAGAGATAGGAGCCTACCATGAAATGACTTTGTTCATGCTATTGAACAACCTACATTTTTTTTTTCCACAACGAGGAAGCTCATGGCCTGAAAATATGTATTATGCAGCTTACTATTTTATTTATGGCTGGTTTTCATGGGGCACTTAAAACCAGCGCCGCGGCACGCCGCGGCGCCGTGGCCTTCGTCACCGTGTCCTACGGCATAATGCTGAGTGGGGTCCCGTTGCAGTGGGCATCTTGTTGGTGAATGGGTGGCACTGCTCAGTTAACTATTGTTTATATTTTTTATTTTTTCTTCTTCCATTATTATATGCCACTGTCATGTCTATGTAATTGCCTGTATTTGTGTGATGTCCATTGTAATAAATGTATCTTTCTTTCTTTCTTTCTTTCTTTCTTTTTCACCTGATGGTAAGTGATGATCAGGCCGAAGGTGGAAGCAAGCTGGTTATCGTCAAAGTTACGGTCAAAGTTAGGTGGTGCAACTCAGCCTACCCAAGCTTAATCGGACTATAACATTATCCGGTGTTTCTTGTATGGAGTTTGACAGATTTTTTACGTTTGTTACTAGATAAAGTAAGATGGTGCAAGTGCAACCCAGCCTAAGTTTGCGTTCTTGCAAGATTTCTGATTATCAAATATACCTACATAGATAAGTACTTAGTTAGAGGTTTTACCTTTAACTATTTGTAATGAATAAAAAGGTTCCTTACATCATAATAAGATCATCCAGCGTAATTCCCCTACACAGATTTTAAATGCCTACAGGAAAATCTCAGTGACGATAAATTAATCATAATAAGAAGTACTAAACTGACTAACAAATGCGGGTTTAAAATGTGCGTTCATTGCATTTTTCAACGCCTACGGATAATATTATTTTCCTTCAAAAATAGGTCGATGCATAACTTGACTGTCATCATGCCCAACATCGCTTGCGGGTTCTACCGATTTCTACGTAATTCGTCCAAAACTATGACGAGCTCACTTTTTAGCATGATGTCGTTATTCTCAAGTCATCGGTCTCATCGTTACAGGCAAGGTTACAGACGACGACGATGACAAAAAGCAGATCCTGTGTAGGACCATCCAAAATAATTCCACGATCTGAATGATTAAAGTTTTCCTTCCTAACTCATTCTTAGGAAGTTTAATGAAGTGCATCGAATTCATAAGTAAGATAATAAAATTAAATATTATTTATTTCGTACCTTCTGTTTTTTCATTACTTACATCAGCTTACATTTATTAGAGAACAGTAGTATTCTTTGTTCTCCAGGGAGTCTGTGACTAACAGTTAATTACTCAGGTACTTCTATAAGCTTTGTATTTTCCTCCATTAAAAAAACTAAGTACTTTTATCTACTTTAGCAATGTCCTTCGGCGCCACACGCGCAAATGGTTAAAAGTTTTCCCCGACCCCGAGTTAAAAATAATTTTAATCTAACATCTAAGGCTAGACAAGTAAAAACATAAAAGTAGGTAGGTACCNAAACGACATTTGCGAATTAAAAGTTTGCAATAAGTTGTTTTGCCAAATGAGAATTTGCCAAATGAAAATTTGCGAAACGTTGTTTGCGATGTGATAATTTGGGAAACGTTTTTTGGCCAAACATTAGTAATCCGCAACCTTTGCACGCCGTACGGCTGTTTTTGGCTCTCTGAGAGTTTGAAGCTTCGTATTGCCCTCATTTTTGGAGCCACAATGTTGGTACTTGGTTTTTTAGATAGCTTAAATGATAGAGTTTTTGTGGTAATGAAGAATTTTAATAAATAATATTCCATTTGCTTATTATTTGAGCTAGAAAAAAAACTTACGAACTTACGTACTATCACGAACTAGTAGCCGTTTACCTTATCTTATTAAACTATTTTTCAGTAAAGAAAACATTGAGACAAAATAAATACTCGTTATAGTTAAGTTACTTGATTCCTTTCATATTTTTCATGAGTAGAGTGGCAGGCAGGAGTTCTGAATGTATTTTTAGATAAATAAATTTTATAAAGACGTTTAAGTACACTACTTATTTGTAAAATAGGTATTTATTACATTTTAAATAAATCGTTACAAAAATTTCTATCCTACTTATCTATTTCTTCTATGTTTTCACCTTTTGTTTTTAAGGAAAATCAAAAGTTTTTATTAACTCTTCCGTTATGTAAAATATGTAGTTGTTGTAGTTTAATTTATTTCCTACTTCGGTACTGATAAACATAATTTTAACAGGTTTTTCATAGCGCAATTCTACAGACCTTTACTCGCTATGACCGGCATAGACAATCATAGCTTTCTTCACTCGTTTTTTCGATTGTTACTTACTTACTTATTCAACTACTTATTTGTTTTGTTTTTGTTACAGCATGTTTGTTTGTGTTTTGTCCGAAGCTTGGGTAGCTGAACGCCTCTGAGGCTTAGTCGATTAGTCATGTGCGAGTTAGTATATAAAGTATGAAGGTGACGGGGTGGCCGCTTGTATACGTCCGCGCAGTTGCAGACACGCACTCGTCAGCTACAAGAAATAAGGTATTGTTGGTATTGTTAATTTAATTTCAAACATTGTTAACTACAATAGGAAGTTATTTCCAACAATAACATTTAGGATTAGGATTTTAAATATATTTAACTGGCTATTGTTTTGTCGAATTAATTTTATGTGGAAAATGTATCTTTTTAAACGGTTTTTGCGATATTTTTTTTGGAACTTTATTTATAAAATATTTTTTATTTTAAGCCAACTGCAAACCAACTATATTTGAGTTAGGTTTACAAAATACAATAAAAAATATATTTATGGCTGATTCTTAACTGCAAAGGTAATTAATAAAACCGCATCGTTCTACGACACGATGTCCCTTACTTAAAAGTGTCAGTAGGTATTAACAATATAATTAATTAGTTCATTTAAACAGTAATAAAATAAAGCATAATAAATATAAATTTATAAATTCTTAACCCAAAATAATATTTTGAAAATACGTAAGTACTTATTTACATATAACTTACCTACTTAACTTTATTCTATTAAATTCCTTGAAGTATGTAGACCTAGGTCAGAGACAAACCTAGGTCTTCCATAAACGCTAAGTAAGTATAGGTCGATAGTTGACACTAATTGGATAGTTACTTAGTACATACAGAAATTATAACTTATCTACCTAGTCTAGATAGTTTTTATAGAAATCTAAGGAGTTCTATTCATATCTTTAATAACAGATAAATCATTAAATTGTGCAATGACTTTACAGGTAAATAAAATAATTGAATCATAAAAACAAAACATACTTAGGTACTTTCCTTCATAGGCAGAACAAATAAAAGTTATGATTTACTTATTCTGAAATCGGCTTAGGAATAAGCCATATCAACTCAACCAGCGTGCAACGTTACCGAAACCGTCCGAAAAAATGTTTTATGTATTTATCGCATTGATGTAATCTTGCCGAAAGCGTTTGGCGATCGCGAGTTACGCCACTCATGAGTAGAACCAGTCTTCCACGTCAAGTTTACGAGATCTTGAAACCTGGAGACAGCTTAAAGGACCGTGACACAGTTTAAATTTTGCTTTTGTTTTGGTTTAATCCCAGCAGCCGGTGACTTTCTATACCCATAATTAAACCGTTGGTAATTTGTTAAAATGCTATAACATGAATTTAATTGTAACAGAACCTAAGTACCTATAATATCCAAAAAAGAAGAAATATTAACAAATATTAAATTGGCTTAACGTCTTAATTAAACCAAATTACAAGAAATTACGTACCTTATTTATATTGCAAATCTTTTGCAAAAGCTTCGAAAAAGTAGTTTCACATCTTTCGGTAATTTCATGTAGAAATCCTTCTTGATCGGAATCCTTGTGAAAATTATCAAAATACTGAAAATTAATTAGCAGTTTCTTTTAGATTCAACATGAAGATGTACTCGCTGGTCGTCCTGGTGGCTTTGGTTGCCTGTGCGCAAGGGTACTCCTCTGGAGCCCCTGAGAGCGCTTGCGAAGACATGATCCCGCGCCACCCTGTCCCGCCGCAGAAGTCTAAGGCCCCCTACACAATCACTACTAACACCAAGGTAAGGTTCTGCATAAAGTTCATCAAAATGGAAGCCATGATTGTGTAAACTTTGATAATGACCTATGACTATGACCTACGCATGGCCGATAATTTGTCTGAGTCCGTCCGCGCCTGTTTACAGTGCCCTAAGCACGAATAACTCGCAATCGTGTGATTGAAATGAAATATTCGTATCTATAAGAATTATGTAAAGTCTTCCGCTATATCACGAGTAAGTAGGTACCTACTAAGTACTTTATAATAAACCTTGTATTGTTGTGAAATAAAATTAGCAACAACTTAACAGGCCCTTAAATATTGTTCACGCAATATATCGAGCCTAGTCACGATGACAAAAATAGTACAACAGTTTTTTTTTTTTTTTNTTTTTTTATTTATTTATTTATTATTCATTATTGAGCAATTACATATTTGATCCAAATAGCGTCCTAAATCCTAAACGCATCTATAAGAATTATTGAAGTCTTCCGCTATATCATTAGTGAGTAGGTACTATGTATAAACCTTGGTATTGTTGTGAAACAAAATTAGCAC